GTGAGATTAGCTATTCTTTTTATGTCCCTTTGGTCATATAGTTCCAAACTTTTCTATGTGTCTTTTACATTCTTGGCTTTCAAATGGTTAGGTTTGAGCGTTCCTCATGAAGATGCATTAAGAAAAGCGCTTCGGACGTACAAAAGTTATGTAGTGTTTTTGTTGTTGTCCAACAGAACAATCATAATTATCCACGGTTAGTCATGTGTAGATGGTTGGTCTTCCATTTACGATTGCTCGTACTTTTGCATTCTGGACGTGATCGTCAGTTTTTTAAACGAATTTGCAATTCCCAAGGGCCACTTGTAGGAGAAGGTTTTGTCCTTTAATAGAACTACGAATCCTTCGACCATATCGCGGCAATCCTCGGACCATTTCCGTCGTTGATGTGGTATTTCTTCCAACAATGGGAGCAGAAAACAGTGACCAGAGTATATACACCTTTCCATTCGGCAATACATAGGTCACATTTGTTGAAATTTCCGAACTGATATGAAGTAAAGATGTAATCGGTCGTTCGCCTTAATACCATAGTTTGAGTTAAGAATAACGGATTCTCTTGATATGTTGATACCAGTACCAAAGGTCTGGAGTTCATTATTGCTGAAACTATCACCGTGAACGTGTTCAGCACGTCATGTTTTAATTCAGATCCTTTCAGTGGCGTTTACCAGCATAAAGTGAAGTATTCTCCTGGCGAACTTGATGAACTTGATGTTTGATCTTGTTATGATAGTATCGGATTAATAGTTTTGCTATATGAAGGGGTACGGATACGGTCCATGTTTTTTTTCCTGCAAGACTCAAGTGGTATTGACAATACGTTCTTCTACTTCTACATGTTCCAGAAGTGCTCTCGTGAGTCCAAAAACAGATTGAGAAAACAAAATGAAAACAACACTTTATAAATTTCATGTGATCGAAGCGCTTTTCTAGATTTACCATCAGGAATTCTTAAAGCCGAATATTTGAAAACAAGGATGTATAAGAACCGCAACAGTTGAAGAGCTATATGACCAAAAAGGACATAAAAAAGGCCAAATCCATCTAAGGTCAACTTTGCCTAATGCTAGTTATCGGGCTTCGGTTTGGAATTCGTTCATTTTGTTGAATGCAATCTATTTCTCCTAAGACATCAATACACAAGCGCTGTCCAATACCTTTACGCTCAAGAATGGCATGCGTCTCCGCAACATTGTCGATTGTTGATTGAACGAATTTCCCAGTCGTCTTGTGGATCAACGAGTTTATGTTGGTTTTCTGAAGTTTCAGAGGTAATAAGTTTTCTTCTAGAGAAATTGATTGCTTATTTATACAATTAGGTCTCTTCTTCTACTACTTTTCCCATTCTCAATTGTTGGAGATAAGGAAATATGGGTGGCTGTTCCGGGCAAGCAAGATTGAGAGCTGGTAGGTGGTTACAACCTTAGGATGTGTTGTGAGGATGCATGGTATTTACTCCCACACTTTTGATAGCTGATGCATAAAAAATTATAACCCAAGAATACCGAACTCCAAGGTAAAGCTAAAAAAGGGGGATGTCCACAAAAAAACTAACAAAATCAAACGTTAGACAATATCAACCGACAGAATGAATGGAAAACAACTGCCATATATTCCTGATTTAGTACAGGCATTTTCCGAATAAAATGATGGGTAAATCCTGGTTTTATAGCTAGCTCAACCTTTCACTTGTATGTCAGTTGTTTGTAGTTCCATTATATTGACAAAATTGGTTAGTGTGACGATAATTGGGACCCAGCAGCCAAAACTGAGTAAACATACATAACAACTGACTAAAATATTCAAACAAACATACAAATAATTCTGACAAAGACACCAACAAAAAAGTTATTGTAGTTGAAAGTATATCTGACAAAGTCGCCTACAAAAAAGTGTTTGTAGTTGATGGTACATACAGTATATAAAGCGTAATGTCGCACCAGTATACACTTTCCCGATATTCCCGAATTACGTGAAATATAAATACAAGGGTAAATAAAATGAATTCAACACTGTAAAAACCTTTTGCTTTGCATCACTACTTTTGTATTCGGTTGATTCACAACTTTTAGCGAACGTTGCTTTCTTTTATTTATTGACATATTACTGACACAGAACAAAAAGATTTGGTTGTTGGTTTAAATCTAGAGGTTGCTGTTCAAATTCCGTCTTATGGACGTTGTAGTAGCCTTAAACTATTATGTTGAAAATCTTGCCTTCGCACTCATGCCTATAAATTTTAGCGCAAAATTACGATATACCACCTAATGTCCTCATTATTGGTTACATATTGGATATCAGTTAGTTAATGACGTTATGTGTCTCTAAGAAAATAGTCATGAAGTAAAATGTAGAATAAGTTATCCATTTAGTGGTTATTTGCAGAATTTCCCGGTTGTCAATGTTTATATGAGTACGTTAAGAGATGAAGCAGACCTAAATGCATATGTAGTATCTTTTGTGTTCTGAGAAACAAAACTGAATTATTTAGTTAGTCATGTTAACAGACATCAACTATGTACAAAATTGATGGTATAGGTAGTTTATTTGAAGCCTGGTTAATGTGATAAACGTTTTCGATTCTGCTCCTCCACGTTAACGTAGATATGGTCATCGTTATTATACATCACCTACTCTTCATGATATTTCCATTTAAAACCTTTATACAGATGCCGTTGGGTATTCAACGCATCCGCATGAAGCTATCTTCACTAAACCCTTTCGAAACCATCTTCTTACAACTTATGCCTGAAAACCACGGTTTCAAATCCCCATTCAAATCAATACAATCTTACAGCTAGCACCTCGGATATAGTATGTCACAGATTTTCAGACCGGTAGGATATTCGAAAAGATGTAACGGGAGAAACGATCCAACAAAGGGCTAGATGCCATCAACTTCGGCATTATTCTTCAACAATTCAATCGAGAATGCTTTCCTAATTTAAAGATCACTCCCTACATATCTTATACCTTATACGATTGCAACTAAAATTTTCAGTCATAAACACGTGCTGCGTGATCTCAATATTGACGACTAAACCTCCTAATTGCAAGTCTGTAAGTTCCCCATTCATATGTGATCCGGCTGGCCACGTTATCACTGGTGACCTGAGAATGTCAATAACACTTCTCTGATAAATTTGATAACCAGAGGATCTAATTATTGTGAGCCTAAATCCATAATTTGGAAACACATCTTTAACATAAAAATTCGTAAGGGTTCCGCGGAACCCAGTGTCTCGCCTACTTTTTCTGTTAATCGCAGGCTCAACAAAAAAGAGGAAGTAAATCAATAAAAATATTCCTCTTGATACTATCTTTTGATTGTAAAAAGCTTCTGTCCAAGTTTGGTAAAAATCCAGGATAGTTTATGAATCTAATAAATGTTTAAAAACTTTAACTGCAGACTGAATGTAATGTTAACTGGAAGAAAACAAAATTTCCTTCTAGATACTAGCATTTGATCATAAACAAGCTTCTGTCCAAGTTTGGTACAAATCCAAAATAGTATAAGAAAGTTATTAAAATCTTAAAAACTTTAACCACAGAGTGAATGTGTTGTTTCCTGGCAGAAAATCTAAGTCCATTTAAAAGTAAAATACAGAAAAAATGGATTTATTTTTTTACAAAATTTCCTTCTAGATACTAGCTTTCGATCATATACAAGCTTCTGTCCAAGTTTGGTACAAATCCAAAATAGTATAAGAAAGTTATTAAAATTTTAAAAACTTTAACCACAGAGTGAATGTGCTGTTTCCTGGCAGAAAATCTAAGTCCTTTTAAAAGTAAAATAAGGAAAAAATGGATTTGTTTTTACAAAATTTACTTTTGGATACTATCTTATGATCATAAACAAGCTTCTGTCCAAGTTTGGTAGAAACCTAGGATAGTTTAAGAAAGTTATTAAAATTTTAAAAACTTTAACCACAAGAGTGAATGTAATATTTCCCGGCTGAAAAACTAAGTCCATTTATAAGTAAAATACGGAAAAAATGGAATTTTATTTTTACAAAATTTACTTCTGGATACTATCTTATGATCATAAACAAGCTTCTGTCCAAGTTGGGTAGAAATCCAGGATAGTTTAAGAAAGTTATTAAAATTTCAAAAACTTTAACCACAGAGTGAATATTTGTGGACGCCGCCGACGACGACGACGACGACGACGACGGAATATAGGATCGCTATGTCTCGCTTTTTCGACTAAAGTCGAAAGCTCGACAAAAATGTATTTAGTCAAGGATAATGTCAAGCATTGGGTTAAATCCGAAAAGAAGACAAGTGCATACACTTTCTGAATGAGATGCAAATTAGAATTAAAACACTGAATGGGTCTATGAATACGTATGCTGAGTCTATTTTGAAAGACTCAAATGTTGCAAAGCACCTGTCTTACCTCAAAGACAAAAATGTTATTGTCCCCACTGATAAAGCACCGAGCAACATCGTTATTTGTGTGGAGTAAATCACATTACATAAACTGTTTGATAACGGAATTAGGTATTGACTTTTTACTCCGATTCTCAACATATACTCCAATGACACTTACAAAAGGGGAGATCAGAAATAATCAAAGGTGTGTTCTATACACTATACTGAATAATGAGTGTCCTTACAAAGAACGTTACATTGCTTCGTCTGCCATGTACTACACAAATCTAAACTAAGTGGCCTCCTCTTGTAACAGTATAAAACATTTGACTTCCTTAACGGGTACTAGTATTCAACATTCTCAACTTAAAGACATATTGAAAGAATTAGTCCTACTTTGCTTCTAAAAAAAGAATGGCCAAAATAGAAAGAAATACTTTGTTCTAGGAAGGGATAAATCATACTTTGTAAAAAAGTCACTCTGATTCAAATAAAACATCTAAAATTTACATTTTACACATACTGCTAGAATAATTATTTATGAGACAAGGCCTGAACCAAAAAGGTACTTAAGCCGCATTAACATGTACAAGATATCTTTTAACAAAACTGTTACGATAATATCATCAATAAAAGATTTATTCTCAAAATGAGGAAACATTGTATCCAGTGTAGCTATCAGAGGGTTTTGTGAAAATATACAATATATGCAACTGTTGAACTGTAATAACATTTAACCATGTCTGATTATGTACCCGAAAAAACATTCCAACACTTTTTGTCAACATTTCTTAGAATATTTTACTCTCAAAATACAGGAATGTGCAATAATTTTCCCTATATGATAAAAAACCATCACTAATAATTCTGCATTTTGCCATCTATATGCGTACAAAGCAACACATAAAAAGGTGTCACATATAATTCTGTATTTCGTCGTAACTATAAACTTATACAAAACACATTGAGAGGCATCACAGTGATAATTCTTCATTTTGTCATCTATATAAATACAAAACAACGTCTTGAAAGGCATCACTAATAAATCTGTGTTTTGTCATCTATATGCTATAAGTAAGTAAAAAAACAACGTCCTGAAAGGCATCACTAATAAATCTGTGTTTTGATATAGCTTTAAACTGGTAAAAAACATGACCACGAACTGATTTGTATTCTTCAATGCTTTACTCTTTAACATGCTTAACAGTTATTGAATATTTAAACGCTGGTCCTGTCAGATTAGACACCAGAAGTATATCATCGTCTTTATCGAAATAGATAGCATGTGGATGAACGAGACCATCCGCTAATCCAAGTAGCTCCCTGGCGCGCTTTCCGATTGAAGTCATGATGACGACATTGTTAGACATGGATCCAGCAATGTAAACATTAGATCGATCATCCAATGCTATTCCTCGCGGGTTCTCCAATATTGCTTTGTCACTGAAAGTCCATACAACTTTACCACTAAAATCGTAACAGGTTACAGTATCTCGATGGTAGTCGGAGAGGAACAGGTTATTCTCGTTTGCGGTTAAATATGTTTCCTGTAAATCTACATTTTCAAAATCAGCAGGGAAATTGGAGACGGAGAGAGCATCGTAATCCAACACTTTGATACAATTGTTAGTACAGAAAATAAATACCTGTTTGTTGGAGGTAATTCCATAACACGAATCGTTCATCTTTAGATGTCGTCTAGCTCTGGGTTGATCCATGTCAAATACCTTCATTGACTTACTGCTGTCTCTTGTTGTAACCAATACTCGTTTTTCGTCCAGATAAGCAATATCAAAAACAGACGCAGGGAGTAGGTTTATATCTCCCTCGAAGTCTCCTGATATGAACTTTAAAATTTTTGAATGTCGATCCATATCTCTATTCAAAAATAAAGTTATATTTTCTTTCAACATCATACATGCTGTAATTTCATTTCCATAAACTCTTAACCTCTCAAGTTGTTTAACAGTTACGCCATCAATCTTAAAGTAGTCCTTTGTTTGTCCTGCTCCATCAGCTATCTTCTTCAAGGTGAAACCAACGTTTACTTTCCTTGGTAATACACAACCTATCGATCCAACTGCTTCTTCTTTGTTAACAAATGAATCATCAAACTCGCAACAAATTTTGACATCATGAAAATCGCCTTTCTCGTACATACTCTGTAACTGCATAGTTAGTTGTTGTAAAGATTGTTGTAGATTTCTTGTTCCTATGAACGACTGCCTGCCTGAGGCACATTCTTTTAAAACTTCGATATTTTTGGATATCTCATTTACTTGTTTATTTTCAGTCTCCAAATCTTGTAAGACTCGTGATATATACCTTTTTCCCTTGACTTTCGACTGTGTTACTTTAAGTATGAGATCTTGTTCCAACTTATCAAAATTTATGTTCTTTCTCATATCCTTGATCCTCTCAACGACGTTGTCTTCATTAATGGGTAATATTTTCAGATTATCTTTACTTTTTGATATAGCTGTTGTGATGATTGATTTTACACCCTGCAGAGAGTTTTCCAACCTCTCTAAAGCAGCTGACGAATTAGAATCGCTTACAACATCTTCCAATAAAACAAGATCATCACATGTTCTGTGTTCCATAACAATGCATCTCTTACAAGCAAGACTGGTATGCAATTGGCAATGAAATTCGAAAGGATACCCATGTTGGTCACAACGATGTTTTATGTTTTGAATGAAGGGAGGTAATTCCTTGTACTGTTCAAAAGTTATGGTCTGGTGAGTTTTAGAGGCTTCGGCTATTCGATGATGTTCTGAGCAATTTTCACAGAGGTTTTGGTCACACTGTGGACAATATTCTCTTACAGTAGATCTAATATGACGGACGTGACATACGTCACAGACGCAGTTTGTTTCAGTCGCCATCTCTGTGTGTTTTTTTCCAAGAAAAAATGGAACAATTCTGAAAAGCAAATGAAAGCATTGTCATTTTTAAATAAAAGGTGCTTGTTTAACGTTTTCACCAATATGATATCTATGCTTTGTCAGCTTGTTTTTCTTTTCTTGTTATGCGTTTATCCAACTGCCAGGAATACGTCATTGAGTGAGCAACACAAAATACAAAGACACATATGTGAACGTATGGCTTTTCACAGTGAACTAGTGTCTACACAACATATCAAGTTCTTAACCGACCTAAGTCTAGAAAAATTGTAAATAAATATATGGGTCCTTGTAACCATTGGCGCTGAAGATAATTCGGAAAGGGGGGGTTGAAAGGTAATGAGGCAAGAAGTTTTTCATTGTTCTTCAAATATGTGTTTCATAAGCAAAATAAAACTCGGTTAGTGAGATAAATCTAGTCGTATCTCTTTAACTATAAGAAGGTCGGGACAATTGCATCCCCTCGTCATCGTCCTACCGCCTAAGCTTCCAAAGAGTGTAGAAAAAACAACATATTAGAAATATCAAAGCAACCCAAAAAAAACACCTTTTCATTATATATCTGTATTTCGTTGCGACACAAATATAAAACACAGACGTCCGGTCAGAATGGCGACTTCCTCGAATAGGAAAGTGTTTTCTGTATGTTAAAGAAACGTTGCAACAACTTTTTGATAAACTCCTGCTGCCCATATATAACTTTCCCTCATTTTACCATTGCATTTCAAATTTTCTGTCTGTTATCCCATGTGGCCCACTTTGAGGAGCCTACGCATTGTATATACTGTCAATTTGTTGGCATCCTGATTATGTGTGAAATATTAGCCAACCATTGACTATGGACAAACAACATCTAAAGACGATTTAAAGATAACTTAATATGTATGGCTTTAAAAAAAAATTAAAAAAACTTATAGTCCTACATACACTTCATATTATGTACTTATATTTTGGCATTGCCAAGGTCATGCTTTTCCCTGAATGTTTATGACTGTCACGTCTTTGCACTCAAATCCTTTGGATGTGTGCTCAATTATACTTAAGTCTGTGAGAACATGACCTATTTATGAGTTGTTATTGGCTTTGAATTTGATTTTAGTACACTTAGATCGGTACTTTGTGTCCATTGTCTTTATGTTAGTTTTTTTGTGCTGCGTGCCGATTTGAGGAGTCAAGCCATTTCCTACTGATTTTTACAGTTTTTCCTTTTGTTATGTTTATACACCATTGTCATAGGTAAAGGGGAGAGTAGTACGAAATTGATTTGACGTCTAACGGCCTTTTTGGACATGCTGGGGTCATGAGACGTCAGAGCATAGTCCATTTAGAAAGCATGGAAATTTCAGACCCAGATAGATCCATTTTCAAGTAGATAAATCACACATCAGTCGATTCCTTAATCCTTTTACTGCACGAATATGTTACTTTGATTCAAATACTAACCCCCAGTAGCACAGACGAAAACGTAATTCCATTGAGCCCTGTCTTTTTTTTTTTTTCTTCCGTTCCCTTTGAACAATTTTTCACGTGATAGCGTTTTCAATTCTGTACGCATAGAATGTTGGGGGTTAATTAATGCATATGATCTCGGTGACCTGCATATATTAAAGAGATTTTGCTCTTCGTCCGATCTATCGTGTGCAAACGTCGCTCATGTCAACATATTTGCATTAATAAGAACTCGAGTTAAAATTACTGTGACGAATTAAAGCGAGATCGCAATATCTTGTTCCGAGTGAACGTATTTTGCTGAAAATGGTGGGCAAAAATGACCTATAATTGCTTAAATCAACGTCATTCGGACTCTGTTGGATAGTTGTCTCATTGGCAATCATACCACATCCCCATATTCAATTTTTAGCAATAAAGCAAAACCTTATAATTACGAGGCGTACCGTTGAGTATTTTAAAGGCAAAGGAACTTCTGTGACAAACTTGAAAAAAAAATTGGAGGTTAAATTTCCCGCTAGCTGAAAACTTGTTGCGGGTGGGAGGAACTGGACTTGCCGCAACTGGACATTTTAAATCAAAATGATTAAAAGTAAATTGTAATAGTAACTAAGACAAAGGGTTGCATTTTAATCACATAAAACTAATCCCATCCTGTATGAGACGTCCTACAAATCTGTTGAATTTTTAACGAGTGATGTCCCTTAACTCTTGAATGATAATCTAAAAATCTCCTATATCGAAAATAGTTTTACTATACGAAACATAAGTGTAAACATTTAATGAAGATAAAATAAGGAGAACTCGAATTATCACAGGGCGTGCTCTAAACTATTTAATGTTATAAAAGTCGTATAACTGTGAACGACAAATTATCGAAAGGACCTTGTCTTCATGAAACCCAGCATTGAGAAAGAAATTTGTTAACATCTGTTAAACTGACATTAACTGCGATTAATACCAAAAAAGTATATCTTTTTTCTTGTTTCAAACATTTATAAAAGCGGAATATTGAAATAATATTTGATGTAAACAATATTTATTATTATGAATAATACAAGTATAATTATAAACACATTCACAATTAGGATTCAGAAACAAGCAACAAGTGCTTATATTAATCCGTCTCCTTCATAAATAAAATACATTATACACAAATAAATCAAAACTACATGCTCTGTTACATAATAAAAATATTGATAATGTCAGTTGAGTTACATAATGAACTGAAAAGTAAAGAAAAATGCAACTGATAAGACGAAATGCTTACAGGTTTATTGTGTGAATTATTAATTTGTAAACCTTTTATATTTAATAATGAACCTTTGTACCATGAGAAATAAACTAATGTTTTCTTCATCTGAAATCGTATTTGAGCCATTTAATAGAAATTCGGTGTCCATTGGTACCGTTAATTTTAGGCTTCCAAATGATATTAGCAATTCTTGTCTTATGTCCGAATATAATGGGCAAAATAATAAAAAATGTGAACTAGTTTCTAAGTCACCACAGCGACATTTAGGGGAAGAAACTAAGTTTCTTTGAAACAAGTGACAGTTTAAAGAACTACTATCCATTCTTAGTCGCGCGTGAAGAATTTGGCCTTTTAATATTTCGCTATTAGCAGTCTGCAGTTTGGTTCAATTCTGTCAACATAAGCACAAAAACATCGTTAATGTATTATTGGCTTGCAAGTCAATCATTTAACATCATTTGAATCAGTATATCATGCAACCTTAGCTGGAGATGGGTGAAGCATATATGCTAAGCGTGTTGCGTAATTAAAAAGAAAAGAATGTCAACATTGAAAAGCGAAACAAGGGAACCACAAGGAAAAATAATTTCATAGATTGATTCGACTAACAAAATATCAACAGATTCATATATGGAGGACTCCAAATTTTCGTTAATTGTCAATTTTAGTGAGTTTCAAAGTACATGTATCATATAAATCTTGGTTTGAAAGTCATTTAAACGATCGGCGTCTACAAATAAGAATTCGGTTCAATGAAAAAAAAGAATGTCTTCTGACTGCATCATTCTGTGTCTTTTTCCATATTTTGCTCGGCATGATCAGGGGTTACGGCAAGTGTGAATTATGCTAAAAACTATATAAATAATATAAAAAAGGACTAAAACTGACGTTACAGAAAAAAACTATACATATTTAAGTGGTCATAACTTCGTCATTAATAATGTGATATGTAAAGAAGAAGATATGTTGTATAAATGGTTACCGTAGTATCACAACTATTTATTTTTTTTATTTTCAGTATTTTGGCCAAATTAAAAAAAAAATTCAAATCGTATGACTAATGTTAACCCTACGTGAGCCCATTGCTTTGTAGTAATGTCCGATTGTAATTGTGAGTTTAGGCCAAGTTACAGAGTATGAGTCATGTCACAGAATATTTATAAGATTTTTCATACAATTGCGATATTGATAAAATTGAAAGAAAAAAAAAACTGAAAAAAATAAAGCATTTGTCTTTTTACATGTTTTAATTTGCTGAACTACTATTGAATGAATTCTTCAAAAATAGATGCAAAATTGTATAGAAAACACGTTAACTCGTTGAATAAAGTTCTTAAACTCATAAAATCTCGAAAACAAGTGTATAGATTTTTCTAAATGATACATGGTTCTCCTCCTTCCTTATGTTTGAATATTTGAGTACATGTGTACTTATATATATATAACATATAGGTTGTTTAAAAGAATTTGGTTTACTGTTTATATATATATACAGGCAGATTTTTTTAAAATCATTTATGGCCAGGTGTTTATAGGTTGTAAATTCAAATACTTTATTGTCATGTAAATCCTACAACATTTATGACATTATATGAACATTACGATTCACAATAAACATAGAAAAAAACAAATACACAGGGAAAAGTACTTCTTTTGATGTTGATGGGCAGCAAATATATTTAATTTTGTAATTTTCTTGACATTATTAAAATCTGGTAAATTTTGAAAACTTTACCAAACATTGAAAACTGGTTTCATCCTTCACTTGTAATGTGATATATCTTATGTTTAATGTCGATTGTATTATATTGTATTATGTATTTGTCACAGGGACTCGGTTAACGGACATACATGTTTACACCTGTCCTAAGTCAGGAATCTGATGTACAGTAGTTGTCGTCTGTTTATGTAGTTCATACGTGTTTCTCGTTTCTCGTTTTTATATAGATTAGACCGTTGGTATTTCCGTTTGAATGGTTTTACACTAGTATTTTTTTTGGGCCCTTTATAGCTTGCTGTTCGGTGTGAGCCAATGCTCCGTGTTAAAGGCCGTACCTTGACCTATAATGGTTTACTTTTATAAATTGTTACTTGGATGGAGAGTTGTCTCATTGGCACTCATACCACATCTTCCTATATCGCAGTATATCACACATTTTTAATCATTGCAATTTTATTTGTTTTTCGTATTTCGCTAACCGCGTCCCTGTGGTATGTAAGTAAACTTATAACATCAGCCGAAAAGTGATAAGAGTTTTAAAATATCTTCTGTCTCGATAATCCAGGATTGAACATGGATGAATATTTGCCACTGGACGTCAGAGGAGAGTTGACGTCAACAATACCGACAGATATAGGAAAGAAGCAAATGATCTAAATGTAAATATCATTCCTCTTAGATACAGCTTGTTAATCATTTATTAATTTGGTTTACTATACTAGTGCTACTTACCTCTAAAGAATGAGCAGTGCTATTAATCAAATACACTCAGATTGACAGGGATGGTATGTAAAGGGGAATGAAACATGATAAATAGTTCATAATGAATTCGTATGAAATTTACAGACATAACAAACAAACAAACATATTACGTGTTAACTTTGTATTGGAAAAAGCACTCGTATAGGAGAAAAGCATTAGCAAAACAAATTTAAAAAAATTAAACACAGGTTGAAATTATTTGTAATTACAATTCTTTCCATTTTATGATCTTTTATTATAATTTAAGTTATACAGTCAGATTTCTTCTTCGTAAAACTTGTCTCCATTTTTCATGCCACCTAGTTTTTTCAATTGTGAAAATGGAAACCATTGTAGGATTGACGCGCTGTCAATTTAGCTCTTGAAAACCGATAAATTTATTGACATAGTATTGGGGGACGACCATTGATTTCCCCATGAGGGAGGGGGGCAGGAGGATTTTAAAATTAATATCCTGGCCTGGTAAGAGCTGAAAAATAATAACCTTGCACACGGTAGGATGGAAATGAATATTATGCAACACAAAATGCAGGAAAAATGTACAAAAGTGCAAATAAATTCAAAGACACCTACTCTGTTGTAATGACTCATACAAAGGTATTTCAATTGACCCATACAATGACAGTATTTCTTGGTACTGTGAATGCATGTTTAATAGATAAAAAGAAATCTAAAGCGATATGATATATATCATTTAAAACAGTAAATTTTAACACGACTGAACTTAAAAAAGCTAGGTGTATCAAACTTTCTCTTTGCGATAATATTGTTGCCCATTTTACGATTGTTTGCTCAAATTACCGGGGCCGAGATGCAATTTAATGCTTTTAAAAGATCAATCTTTTTTTTCTTTCTGTGTATTTTTTTCAGTGGAATTAATGCTTATGCATGTTATGCATCTTGAAAATTCTAAAGTATTTGCACCTGCCATAACCGGCTGTTTCATGAAAATTTGTCTTTAATTTAAAAGTTTATGAATATCTCTTAGCTCTGTACTGTAATGTGAGTAACTAACAAGCATTCTGAGAGTATTGCATGGCAATACATAGTCCCCCTACCGGGTAAAAATTCATTATAATGGAACAAAAAGCTAATTTGTTCTATAACTTGTCATGGTGTAAACAAAAAGAAAATATCAAGTCAATATCTTTAAGCATGACTAAAAACAGTGTGGAAAACTGATTAAATGAGTGATTTTTTTAAGTCCAAGGACCGTAACTCTGCACAAAATTATCAGACCGAAAAAAAATTTCGAACTTGATCTATATAACTTGTCATGATAAAACTATATACCAATTATCAATCAATATCTTCAAGCATGAAGAAAAAAAGTGTGGAAAACACGTTAACATTAGATATGATTAATAGTTCTCTAAAATTAGATATGATGTAATACAGTGTACATCTATTTTCAAATTATAATCAAATATAATTAATAGTTCCAAATTTTTTTTCTTTTATTTGTCACAAACTAATATAGATTTGTAACTTATCTATAAAATGTCAACAATTTTTACCTACACAATGTAATGTAATATATACATTAATAAAAATAGATTATTATCTAAATAAAGGATTTCACTTCATAATTTTTTTATATATATATATATATAGCATTCAGAAAATTAGTTTATACATAATAACAAACAAACCTGCCAAAAAATTCTTCAAATAATTTACCAAAGAATGTCTATTAAAAATGAGTTATCTCCCTTTGTACAGAAATATAGTTTTACTCTAACATTAGATATGGTCCAGAGTTATGGTCCATAACTCTGGACTAAATCATCAGACCGGAACAGAATTCGAACTTTATCTATAACTTGTCATGGCAAAACTATATACCAAATATCAAATCAATATCTTCAAGAACGAAGAAAAAAAGTGTGGAAAACTGATTTGCCGGACTGACGGATGGACAGACGGACGGAGAGACGGACAGAGTGCAAACCTAAAGTCCCCTTCGAGTTCGTCGGTAGGGGACTAAAAACAAGTATTTAAGATGAACAACATTCTAAAGTATGCACCTACATTGAGCTTTTAAAGGCCATTGAAACCGATGTAAATAATCCAAATATACCAACTTGGCCATTTCTACCGTCTCTAATAAAGAGTACTCCATTTCGACTGTTTAATTTCAACTAGATATCACTTTCAACCTGTATATCATCACATGCATAGACACTGAGACAGAAAATAATTAACATCATTTAACACTACGGTCCATTAGAGGGGAGACAACTCGAACTCATAACCTTCTGAGGGTTATAACTTTAATTTTTTTTTACAAATTTTCGCTTCAAAGTAGTGTTTTAAAAATTATGGTTGCAATGATTACCGTAATTGATTGTGCTAGCTATTCTTTATATACCCCTTTCAGCATAATAATAGAGACCCAAGATATGTTTCTATATTTTGCTGTACTGACTTTTGGTTATCTGCGTTTTCGATGATGGCAAATAAATAGATGAACAGGAATCAACAAATTTCGTTTGGGTTATGTTGTTTTGTTAGACTGTTGTTACATTAATGATTAGCTCAAAGACATATATCTCAGTATTTGTACGTATTTGGCTGATTGGTTGAATTTTGCTTGCTTAACGTCCATGGCAGTCACAAGTATTTCATGTATATTCAAGACGAGAAAATATTCACATGTTTTTACCTTTAATTAGTACTTTTGAAAAACTTACCTATTTACGATCTGCTAAACCATGTAAAAATTTAGTCAGAGGAGTAGGTACATATCAGACAGAACTATCTTGTGACCAACCATTTTCAAGTTGCTGCATACTGCTACCGATTCGATTCGTGTAGCTGCAAGTTGCATTTTTTTATCTGTTGCTCAAGTCGGAAAGTCATTGAACCATAGTGACCTTTTTGCGATCTCATACTAAGACGAATAGAAAGATGCACAGAAAAGCAGATTAATTAGTTAAAAAAATTAGTAAGAGAAGAAAAATGTAATAATCACCGCATTCATAACCATAATTTCAATAACACTAGCTTTCTCTCATTTAAAAACAACAAAAATTCCAGGTTCTTCTCCCAAAACGGTAACAGAAGCAACTATTTTCTTAACGACAGGCGAACTGTCCTTTTTGGTTTTTTCCTTGGTCATTGTTTTTTCTGTCCTTTTTCTTTTTTCATTCCTTCCATTTTGAATTTTGCCGGTTGCCGCTAAGATTGCTTCTTACTTTTTTCCAATGGTTAAACAACAAAGGTATACCATCTAGACTACATGGAAAGAAGTACTAGTATATAAGAGAAATAGTAGATTTGTTTACGCCCAAGTCATTGACTTTAACATCTGTTTTTAAACCGACAATATAATTTAAATATGTATCCTTATGCATGAGTTGTACATGTATATTAACTGTGCCCAGCTCACGAATTTGACGGTCAATTCATGAAAACAGATTCATAAGGACATCAACAGTCACGACTTTTATTATTACATTGAAATAAAAAAAATTATAGAAATTAGAACTTATTCTTTGATTGGAGATTTCAAATATGTGCTGTTAATTACTTAAAAATTCATCAATTAACTCTTTAAGTCATTTTCTTTATCGAAGTTGTTATGCAGGTCACTTGAATATTATGTGCCTGTAATTTAACATATATCTCGATGTGTCCTAGTCGTTGTGTAAAAGCTTGTATGTTGGTATGTTTTTTGCAGTGACATTGTCGGTCATTTTAGGACAGTATTTGTTAGATTTGTGTGAATATGGTTTCAAAGACGAGAACGACAATGTGAATATACGATGGAAGATAAATACTTCAAATACCCTATATTACATACTTCATAAGAAGTCATCCAAAAATAAATGAAGTGACATTTAAGAGGAAGAATAACATACAAATCGATTGGTATCTCGCACGTTTCAATTTTCTCACTAGTATAAATTCGAATTAGACAAACGGAGGCAAATCTTATAACATTAGAACTGTGTAAGGAAGGAGCAGGAATTTGTTAATTGGGTAATTTTAAATACTTTAGGTGCTTGAACAAGGATTAATTTTTCATAACCTTGTCTGTCCAATACCTTAGCTTTTTTGCCTCCTTCCCGAAATGGGTATGCCAATTACATTTATTAGGTATTTCGTCATAATTAAAGCACTATTCAAACAGCAAAAGGGCATTTAAAGGAAATGAGTGAATTTCAACAGAAAACAACCCTTTATTCTGAACCTAATTGGTTCCATATTTTGAAATGTGGAAGCAAGGTAAACTACACGTGTCATTTTGTTTCAGTGTTGTATTATGCATAAAGAATAGAGAATGGAAACGGGGAATGTATCAAAGAGAAAACAATCCAACTCTAGAGCAAAAAAGGCCACCAACATGACCAATGGGTCGTCAACGCAGCGAGTAAATCCCGCACCCGGAGTCGGCCTTCAGCTGGCCCCTAAACAATAATGAATACTAGTTCATAGAAATTGACGTCACACTAAATTCCGAAAGAAACAAATGACCCAAAATTTAAAAAACAGACAAGACTATCAAAGGCTAGAGGTTCCTGATTTAGAACAGGGGCATTAATGCGGCGGGGTTATGGTGTTTTATGAGATATCAACCCTCCACCTATACCTCTAGCCAATATGAAATAAACAAACACACAGAAAAACGCACAGTAAAACTCGGTTGAAAAGAAGTCCGAGTCCGATGTTAGAATAGGTAACAGAAGAAACAATAGCAGTTACTGAAATGCCATCTCCAGACCTCCATTAAATTGATGGAAAGATTCTGTCTTCGTCATATGAAAATCAACCACGATCCCTCCTGCTACTTACGGGTTAAGTATCATGCCATCATGAATTATACGTGAAGAGCATAACTCGTATCATGCCAACAACTGGTTTTATGTACACTCTGTTATTTTTCAATGTCTATAAAGAATTTAATTCAAAGTAGATATGTTACAACATAAATCTAAAACATAGATGGTCGGAACTAAGTTTGAATTAAAACGACTCACTTAAAAGTTTTTAGTACCCTAAAATACATTATTCAAGTTCCGCTGATGTCCGTAATTACTTCTTTACAAGAGACTCATGGTTTTTGTTGCCATTCTTGATTTCGCAAATGGACCTTCTAGTATAGAAGATAGAGTACTTCCCATTTGCCAAACTGTTGAATTTGGACTTATTGCTTTTTCCATGGCTTGTAAAAGAAATGGAACCCCCTTTTCGACATTGTTTATCGAAATGTACGAAAAACCGAGCAAATTCATCGCAGAGACCTCATAACCAACTTGTCGTTCGGATAAAAGTTTCTCTATAGATTCCAGTGCACCCTCAGCAGCAGATTTCCTATCACTCTTTGTTTCACAGAGAAATAACAAGTAGTGGGCATATACCAAAGGATCATATAGCGCCCAGCTAAGCCATGATGTATACTTCAAAGGTTCAGGTAGCGGTGTTTGAAGTTGAAATTTCACCGCAGGAGGCGACACTGAAGACTCAGTTGGCATAAAGACAACAGCATGATGGAGGGAGCTAAGAAATCTTTCTTCTAGTGTCATATTATTTGACCGGACAAATAACTCATAGTCTTCTATTTCCTTAGGTGTTGGCCCAAATCTGTTTGGCAAAAAATGTGGTACAAATGCTGAAAGCCGGTGGGTATTTGCAACGATCTCTTCTGCAATCTTCTTGCAGTTATCTGTCTCGCTAGTCATGTACAGATAGGTAGCGTATTTGAGCTTTCCAGCCGCTGCATCTGATTTCATACCTTCAGTAAGACACTCTGATGCTGCTTGAAGATAATCATAATTGTGTTCCGTGGACGAATTTGAACCAGACAGCTCATTGTACAAAGAAAAAAGGTGAAATCCTAAACTAGATTTGATGGCAGCTTTAATCGGTTTAAGTGTGTTCCTGTAAAATTCATTAACTGATCTATCATCTAGACGTTTCAGTGTCATGTGATGGCGGACTATTGTCATTGACAAGGAATCACCTGCTATGGGTGCTACTGTCGTCATGATTTCTAGTCTTGCGTCTTCATACCGAGGAAAGAGTTTAAGGTCATGCTGAAACCACACAGATTTAACATCCACTTCATGCAAATCTTGTAGGAATGTACTAATATTTTTGGAGGAGGTGTATTGCTGAAGTAATTCTTTAAGATTTGGTTCAGCTGTCAACGATTTACAACGAAGCAAACATTTCCACCCTTCTTTCATAAAACCGCTGAACAAATCCACCAATTTTCGTTGTTCATCTGCATTCATGCGACGCTCTAAAACATTATTTGTTGGAATGAAATAAGATGGTTCAAACCCGTCTCGTATGAAGTTAAGCATTTGATTTAAACACGTCATGAAGGCATCAGTGACCCTTTCCTCACACCATATAGCACTTTCTATTTTTTCCAAAGTCCAGAATAAGGCATTTTTCATATGGAATGATGAAAGCACTTGAGGAACCTCCTCGGCAATAACATCCTTTAAAAGCATTTTAAGAAGCGCATAGCACTTATGTTGTATGTTGTTAAATGTTCGTAAAAGAACCCGTTCAGACAAAGCAAATGATAACCTCCATTCCAAATACCGTGTTTTACTTCCAAGAAAGCCAACTGGGACAATTTCACAGCCTTTTGAAACAACTGAATCAACGTCTTTTTGTATTGGCCAATTCCTAGGTAGGCGCGTTTTCCATTCATTCGCTTGTCTTGGCCATTCATGAAAATGGAAACAAGGAACCGAATCATGAAGAGGTTCTTCTTTTGTTTCATCAGAAAAGCAAAGCGAAGGACCGTGTTCTAAGATTTCCTCCTCGTCGGGAAATGAAACAGCATAGTTATATGAACTTTGCATCACCCAAGCTGGTCGCTCTGGAATCAGCTGGTACCTGTTGAAAGCGGTTTTAAATTTGTAAGAAGAGAGAAAGAAATTTCCTTCTTCCTGGAAACAGTAAGATTTTGCTCCATTTGGCGTCAGAGAGAAAATGTTGTTTTCCATTGGTGGCCCTTCTTTGTAAAGCCGTAGTCGGGTATAACCTGGATGGATATTTTCTTCTGCTAATTCAAAAATATAATCTGTATTTTCATCCTGTACTTTTTCTTCCTTTTCCTTTATAGACACATAAGAGAAACGCAACATGGTATCAATATCTGTCATGTATCCTTTCCAACCAACTCCGTCCATTATACTTCCTGTTAGAATTGTATTCTGGTAATCGGGTTGAAAATCTACTGCGTTCGCTAAAACTTCAAGCCTCGAAAACATCGACACCTTTGAACGAACATGTTCATGTGATAGCTCGAGTGCGTCAAGAGTTTTTGATAAGAGTAAGGATTCAATTTTACAGCCTTCCATTTCTGAAAAAATAGAAATAACGTTTACAGTCAACTTAAAAAATCTGGGATTTTTTATTACCACTTTTTGTTGTATATTGTTGTTTTCTTCTTTACTGATGTTATTGTTGTTTTCAATGTTTTCTATTCCGTATTGTTTTCTTAAAACAAAAGCACAATTAAAGAGTTTTTTTTAATTTGGCGTATCCCTTCTACATTCAAATTCAATCATCTAACGGCATATTGCAAAGATGTTAAAACCCTATTCATATTTCATCAATTATTGTCATACACACATATCAAATACCTAGACATGAGGGTTTTATCGTTCATCCTAAGATTAAATGTAGTCAGAAGATCGAATAAAGTTAGTGAAGGGATTAAGAATTTTCAAAGTACCTTGATGATCCAAGTCCTTGCGTTCAACCAGTCAGTTCTTTGAAACTAATGTATATATAAATTGGTATACATATGCATCTTTATATCATAAACATGTAGATTACTAGTCATTAGATAATCACATGACCGTTATTTCATAGTAGATCGTTTTACAACCCTATGATGATATAGAGTGGTATAAGGGTGTTAATAAAGTCGTCCAAAAAAAAAAGTAAACCACTTGGGCTACATTTATTTAGTTGAATTTGGCAAAACCTTTCGGAATTTTGGGTTAATCAATGCTCTTCAACGTCGTACTTCATTTGGCCTTTTCATTTTTTTTTTATTCAAGCGTCACTGGTGAGTCTGCTTTTGAAGGCAAAATACGCGTCTGGTGAACAACATTTTAATCCTGGTATTATCTAAGATACGTTTATTTGCATGTATCTGAAATTCCATTTAAGTTCTAGATGATTAAGTTTCGTTGGAACAGGAAATAAAATAGATACCAAACTCAAGGGGTAGTGGCGTCAAATCTCATCTTGCTTGGCTGTCTTTAAATGTTTATGGAGTTTAAATTTCCATAGTTAAAGGAGAAATATTAAGCATTAAGACAATATAGAATAAAAACGAATCAGTGTGATCACTTCAACCCTTAGCCTTTTACACTTAATTTAAATATGCTTTTTTTGTGATTATTTGTACCTCACAACAAGTGTAAGCCACTTTGTATCATGCTTTAAATATCGGTTTAATATATTTTGCGTTTGATGTCAGTTTTCAGATGTTGAAAAACCTAACATTTTGAACTTTACTGTAAAAGGATTCCAGGTGCAAACTCATCAATGATACCAGACTTATGACTTAGTACTCCAGATGCGAGTTGGAAAATCTAACGTCGTTTTGGACTATACATATAGCACGCTTGTCCGGATTAAGTTTTCAAATCAAAATATAAAATATAACAAAAATCGGCTTAGAGATGAATAGGTAATTATAACAGACTTCGAGCAAAGTTAACATTGGATCTACATTTCACGCTACTATGCGAAAGATTAACTTTAAAGTTTTACTGTCGACATTCATTTTCACGTTCACCATGAATATGTTTAACAGCATCTTTCATGTCTTGTTGAATCAAATTTAGTTTTTAGACCATGATCAAAAAGAGGCGGAAGACACCAAAGGCCAAAGGAACATTCAAATTCATGATCGAAGAGAAACCGACAACGCAATAGCAAAAAAAAAAATCGAAAAAATACGAAAAGACAAACAAATTTCTACCATTACTACATAGGTACAAATGATTGAGCAACAAAAGAACCCCACCAAAACAAGGGTGATTTGGCGTGCTATTGACGAGTAGGAAGATTCTGCACTTCAAGTTGCTTCTTTCGTGTTGTTAATGGTGAGTCCAAATCGGTGATCAGTCTTAATTGGAGATGTCATAATCGAGGAAAAAAGGACGGGATTGTGGGTACGACAATTAGAAAATATCCGTGTTCTTCTCTCACACAGATATTTCAGATTTTCGAATGGGTGACATCAAATTCAACGCTTAGAACTCTTGTTTGAATAGGTTTCTTGTAAGTTGCAACCCTCTATCAAGTTAATTATATTAGAAACACAAGCTGGAATGTTGCTACATAGAAATCGAAAGTTCATACGTTTTTTGTCGTAAAGGTTTGTTCTCAACCGATTCTCGTTGTCAATTCTTAGATGCAGGTCAAAATGATGCACACTAACCTGTATCTGTGGTATTTTCTATTCCAAGTTTGATGGGATAGGTGCGTTCAACAAAGTCACCAAACGTTTTATTATTAAGCGAGAGGACATCATCTATGTAGTGGAACGTGCAGTTACAGGATAATACTAGTTTTTTTTTCCATTCTTCCTGAGAAGATCCTTTATAAGGTCTACATCAATTAATGAACAGGCGACAAGAAGAGCACAGTTGGTTCCAATAGGTATATGCCGATTTTCTGTAGAAAAACACGTCTTTTAAACGTAATGATTACGTTGTGAATAAAATAAAAAAAAGCATCGTGATAACGTCAGTTTTAGATATCTTTCTGTTTGAATCAAGATTTTTTCCGAAGTATGATTGATCCCTTCCTAAACAAGATATGTGTATCTACGTTATCCATTCATTTTTATGAAACAAAAATTAGACTAATTCTTTCAATCTGTCATTAAGTTAAGACTTGGGAATACTAGTGTAGAGAGTAGGAAAGTTAAATGTTTTCATACTATTGCAAGAGGAAAGTGACTCAGATAATATGTACTCTAACATATATTAACATTTTTTTCTATCCACATCCGACTCAAACCGTTCGGCTTTGATTGCTGATAAAATAGATGATGATAATTTGGAAAGGGTGTAACGTTGGTAGACTAGTTATTATAACTAAGAGACAAGCCATCGTGGAATATTTGGCAGACCCAAAAACCAGTTGTTTGTAAGGACAATGTTCACTTATTTTGGTATCCAGTACTGTAACAGTGAAGAAACACCCAGTTCTTCATTTCTGCTTGAAAGTCCAAAGGAACATAGAACAGACCTCTGATTATTCAGCATTTCCTCTTTGGTAAGTGTCGTGGGAATATATGTTGAGTTTCCAAGTAAATTTTCAATACCTAAATCATGAATTCTTACTAACTTACAATCACATATCTGTCAAAGTGTTTTACACTAATACTGTAACAACTTGTGAAGATGTCCTTTTTGGTTTATAGCTCTTTCATCTTTTTAATTAGCTTTGGATTTTCAAATATTTTGGTCTCGAGCATCTCTGAAGAGACCTTTATGTCGAAATGCGCATCTGGTGCAGAAAAAATTAGTACCGTTAATGTTATTAAACTAAGTAATCCATCGTCCATTTCTTTGTCGGGAAGGGCGGCTATTTTTTTTATTCAATTTCAGTTTTTTTTCTGCATATGCCTTAAATTAACTGATATGACATTCTGAACATAAATTTTCCCACACAAACATATAGAATCCTGGATCTTGACTCGTGTAGTTTGAAAATGGGTAATTCAAGTACATGATATATATGCAAAAAGACAAAAAAAAGTTCTTACTCTCTCTATTCTTTATTAATTTTTGGCCCAACATTTATGTTTAAACCGTATCCAGACACCTACAGATGTATAATTTATACATCTATTGCCGATGTAGTTACTGAAGAGGAGACCCAGTCCTGAAAACTGACCAATGCAGTGGAAATCAATACCATTGGCATAGAATGTACATGATGTATATTAAAAACGACTAGAATTTTATTAGTACTAATCAAAGAACAATCTCTTCCAGAAAACGTAACCGGCTACTGCATGGATCAGGCAAATGAGGTCAAGGATAAATGTCTATTACCGACCGTGTCAAGGCCGCATTTTTAACAACTCTAAAAGTTGGTTCATATTGTTTTCAAATATTATGTCATGAGGAATCCCGTCATATATATAACACTTCCAGACGCAGATATAAAGTACAAAAAATACCCAAAAAACAAAGGAAAAACAGCACCATGAGTTAACCGTGAATAATATTATGATATTAATAATACATGTAACAATAACAAACATGTAAAGCAGACGTGGTCTCTCACCAGCTGGTTTTCACAGATGAAAGAAATTAAGGTCGTCGTTATCTGCATTTGCTACCCGTGTACAACATTAATGAAGATAAAATTTAACTGAATATTGGCAGATGAATGTGGACGACTTTGATACGTATTTAACCACGAGAAAGTTAATATATTCAAGCTCTTACCTTGAAAGATAGGGACTTCCTCAATGCCCAATATATTTTACTTCCTGGTGGAATTCCCAACAGTGCAGTGAATACATAGAAAAGGAAAGTAGAAATATTATATATAGAACCAACTATTTGTTTTGATTTTAACAACCTTGAACAACAAATGTAGGTTTTAGTTTAAAGTTTAGTTATGAAATGTCAGCATAAAAATATGTCTGCATGTGATTTAACTAAAATTCAAATAAGCATGATAAACTTTTACCGTTTAATCATATTAATGGTTGAAACGTAAATTGTAAGTTTAATAGAAGTGGTATTTAAAATTCCTTTTAAATCATGTCTGGTTATTTCCACTTTATCAATGGATCCAATGGGTTTGCCTGATGATACGTCTACACCACTATTTGGTCACGACATCTATTCCTGAAACAGATATCACGCAGATTGTTGCCGATATATGAACAATGCCCGATCATGAAAATGTCGATATATACTAATCCAGCTATCTCCCTCATTCAGAAAAAGCTGCATCAGTTCGTTAAACTTCTTCTTTCTCGTCAAACACTCCTCTGAAGGCCTTTTAGAATGTTTTTTTTTTAATACATTACTGCAAAAAATAAAATCACAAAAATACTGAACTCCGAGGAAAATTCAAAAAGGAAAGTCCCTAATCAAATGTCAAAATCAAAAGCTCAAACACATCAAACGAATGGATAACAACTGTCATATTCCTGATAAGTTAAAGGAAATGTTTCAAACATTCTTCACAAAGGGGTTAATATATCTTAAAAGTGTAAAACTGGTGATGTTGATTCCAATTCAGAACTGCTTTCATTTTTTATGTTAGATTTCGTTTCTACAAATTTTAGCGATATCCGGTTCACGTTTGACACGAGAAGACGCACCTGTTACAGCACCAGCAAATCTTTTAGATTTTAGAGTTCACATTGTTTTTCACAACACTTATATTGTACAGAGACATTGTTTTAATGATTATTGAGTGACACAAAACAATTCCATTCAAGTCTAAACAAATTTAGACCTTTATTTGTGATAATACAAAAAAATATCCGTGGAATTTTTCCCGCGTTAGCCATTTTCTTTTTATCTCCCTCGCCCCCATGTACAAGACTCAAATAGCAATTAATATATAGCTGCTTTTTAGACATTGTAGAAGTTTTATATGTGGTTTTAGATAATAACATTTCAATTAATTGCTGCTTGCTGACATCAATATAATTTATGTCCGAAAATAAACTTTGGAAATTTCTCAATAGACCGGCTAGTCCACAACCACCAACTCCATGCAATTACACACCTATTTTACTATCTGACAGTAAAGGAAATTATTTAAAAGAATTCATTGGTAATACAGTCGTTGAAAGGAAAGTAAAATTCTGGTGCAGAAGTGGCTCAACCGTTGAAAAATCTTATAAATGGCTCAATTTAAGGCAAACATAGAAAATAAAATCTTACTCCACGGTAAACTCTGGATTTATGTTTGGTTGGGAACCTGTAATATTGCAACAAAAGAAGGGAATTTTATATCCTTAACCTCAGAAGATAACCAAGCTGTGCTAAATATCACACACTATTTTCAAGAATTTTCAACACTTATCCAAAAGTATCCTGAATGTAAAATAACTTTTTTAGAAACACCAGTCTTCTCTATTGAGTCCTTCAACAAATCACGAAATCACCCAGATCCAAATATATTCAAAAACCAGGACCTTAAACTTCAAGACCAAATATATGAGCTTAACTCCTGTATTCGCTATACAAATACAACTATAAATTCACATTCTCCTCAATTCTCATGTGATTTATACCGTCGATCAAATTACAGACGAGGAAACAACCATCGTACCCCTGCAGCAAGGGCATTTTATAACTTTTCTCTCTACCAGGACGGTATACATCCAGAAAGAATTTTGGCTGAAGTTTGGCTCCGAAAAATACTGAAACAAATGAAAACTGACTGCTGGTAAATAAGCACAGTGAGACCAACTCATATAAAATTCTAAATAGTACAGCACATAACCAGTTCAAGTTCTCTGTTGGACCAAGTCAGTGTGGGTTTTTCTACGCTATACTTGGTTGGCAGCTGGACTTGATTATATTTTTACCATAATAACGTCCTCAGAGCTCTGTCGAACCAAGTCAGTGTAGGCTTTTCTACGCTTTACTAGGTTGGCAGTAGCACCTAAGAAAAAAAAAAAAAAAAAAAAACATAAGACAACAACTCAGATATCCATCTAAATAAACTGCCACAATAACAGCTTCAGTGCATTGCCGAACCAAGTCAGTGTGGGTTTTTCTACGCTATACTAGGTTGGCAGTAGCACCAAATAGTAAAGAACGTGAAACAACAGCTCTAATGCTCATCTGAATAATTCACCATAATAAGACTGCAAAGGATCTGTAGGACCTAGTCAGTGTGGGCTTTTCTACGCTATACTAGGTTTACAGTAGCACCTAATAGTAAAGAACGTGAGACAACAGATCTAATACTCATCTGAATAATTCACCATAATAAGACTGCAAAGGATCTGTAGGACCTAGTCAGTGTGGGCTTTTCTACGCTATACTAGGTATACAGTAGCACCTAATAGTAAAGAACGTGAGACAACAGCTCTAACACTCATCTGAATAACTCACCATAATAAGACTGAAAAGGATCTGTAGGACCTAGTCAGTGTGGGCTTTTCTACGCTATACTAGGTCTCAGTTAACTATCAATCATGCTTAGAAGACGCCATGCTTCAGCTAGCAACATCCAGCACATACCTAACCCCTCTCAAATGCCATCCAATCTACAGCACCAATACAAAAACAATATGACCTTAATAAAGGAAAAGCATTACAAAAGAAGGGTGAAACTGCAACAGACATCTAATTGCAGAACTTAAACCAGGCAAAAATTTAGTTATCTCACTCAGCACTGCTGCCTATGAGCTTGCAAAACACATTATACCTTTAATTCTCACAAGCAATATGGAAACATTCTCAACTGAAGAACGTAATGCTGTGGACAACAAAGGGGTCAGTGTTGATAAGATGAATCAAGTATTCAATAAAAAGTTAGATGGCTCCAAAGGAAAACAAAAGAAATTCACTATTAATTTCTACCATACATCCTCACAATTACTTATAAATGGGGCTCACATTGACATTTTTGTGAAAGAAATTTACTCTCAGCTATGCAATGAAATAAAACAGAAACATCATGATTTAAATGTCGTAAACAACAATATATTTGAAACCTTGGAAAATTTGGAATTAAAACAAAAGTCATCTATAAATTTACATACCATGGACCAAAATGCAACCAACACATCTCAAGAGTTGGAAATACCACAAATAAAGCTGAAATCTTCTAGAAATGACCATCTAGTAAGCAATGATTCTATTCAAGAATCATCTTTTCAAAATATAGATCTTTGTCCAATGTGCCAACAACCCTCGCAGGATGATACAATTGAATGTAGTGAATGCAGCCTATGGCTACACTTTACATGTGCTGGAATCTCAGACAAAAATCTGCAAACATTTAGACAAAATGATTTCATATGTCACATTTGTAGTGAAAACCTTCTGTATTACACAAATCAGTTAGAAAATGAACATGATCACCAACATAATGATAGCCTCACTACAGTAAAAACGCTGCATAATAACAGCGAAATAAACTCTACCAAAACTGTCACTAATAAGCCTGATAATATTGTAATAGATCCAACAATTAGGAATCTAATTCCAGAACAAGAGGTTCATTATACAGAAAATCATGAGATCAATGAAATGAATAAAACAACTCTAAATGTTGAACAAAGAGGAATTCAACAAGAAGTAAATGATCTTCCCGAAATCAAAGGGAAAAAACAACAGACTAAATTTAAGGCCAAAGAAGAATCCAGTCTGGATAAGGCATATATCTCACAATTAGAGACACAAATTGAAAGGCTTACCTCTACAGTAGAGATTCTACAAAAATCTCAAAATTTAGACAGACAACAAAATAACCATTGGTCTGAACCTTCAAACATACACCAAGACCAAACTTCAATAAATAGTGCTTCTCAAAACCAGCATCTTCACAACTTCTGTAGCCAACTTATTGAACAAAAATTAAATGAGCACAGAATTAGGAATTTAGAACTACAAATGCTTTAAAATATGCAAACTATGCAAGCTCAATATCAACAATTAATGATGCAATTTCAGAGCCATCAACACCATCAACCTTATCTACCATCAAAACTTCCTGGACCTCCTCAATACCATCATTCAGTTTACACACAAATGCCACCTCAAGCTGTCCACCAAATGTATTTACCACAAAACCACCAATATGTAAATACCAACCTCATGTATAGACAGGCACCACAATATTACAGACCAACCATCCCAACTCAGCAGCAATACCATCCAACAAATGTCAATCAAAATACATTTGTTAAACAACCAACACAACCCGATGTAACAACAAGGCTATCCTATGGCTATCAACAAACATTGCCTACAAACAATCAATACCCAAATTCTCAGAACCAGAGTCGTAATAGACCATCAAAATCAAACTCATCTGAAACAACCAGAGTTGACATGCATACTTTAATAAATGCACCAACACCTGTGAACAACCCTAACACATCAAAGGGTCAAGATACTAGGCACAAAAAACCGCAGCATAGCCATATCCAACAAAGGCTAAATTTGATGGAATCTAAATCCAACGGTCCGCCTGGAACTACACAACCACATCAGGGTATATCCCATGACATAGACAAAACAAATTTGAATTCAATCCAAATAACAAGCCAGGAGCAAAATGTAGTGCCGACTCCAAATATGATTCAAGAACCCAAGAACTGTTTTATACCACGTTCAAATCCATCAAGATCCTCCAGACAGAGCACTACTCGACCTAGAAAATCAGTCTCGGATCTCACAATAGCAACTTGCAACATTGAAAGGGTAAAATCAAACAGTAAATACCTCACTGACCTATGTAAAAAGTTTGACATTATATGCCTTCATGAACATTGGCTTTATAGCTTCAGCAACATGAGCTAGACCAATATC